TTTGAGTTCATTTTTGTATGTGGTACAAGGTACAGACTTTTTCCCAATTGACCCAGCACCATTTGTTGAAAAAACTGTCCTCGGTACATGGACAGGCCTTTGCACCTGTGTTAAAATCAATTGGCAATGCACATGTAGAGGGCTTTTTTTCTCTATATATGTCCCATTGATTTGTCTCTATACCAATATCACATGGTCTTCATTGCTATAGCTGTATACAATGTCTCAAAATCAGGTAGTAAAAGTCCTCCAACTTTGTTTCTCTTTTTCAAAATTATTTTGGCTATTCTTGGTCCTTTGTATTTTCATATGAATTTTAGAATTAGCTTGTAATTTCCTACCAAAAAAAAAAACTAACCTCCTGGAATTTTTATTATTTTGCATTAAATATATAGATTGATATGGGAAGAACTGGTATCTTAACAATTTTGAGTTCTCTGATCCATGAACATGGTGTCTCTTTCCATTTACTTAGTCTCATGTTATTTCTCTCAGCAATGTTCTATAGTTTTCAGTATACAGATCTCGCATGTCATTTTTCAGATTAATCTCTAAGTATCACATACTTTAGCACTATTGGGATAGGTTAAGAAAAAGTTCAATTTCCAATTGCTTGTTTTCGTGATTTGTATATTGATCTTGTATCCTGAAACATTTCTATATTCAGCAAATGCTAGTATTTTTCTTTTGTAGATTCCATCATAAATGATAATGTTATGTGACCAAAAAAAAAACCACAACAAAACACGACTGTTTTTCTTCTTTCTCTGCAATGTGGATCCCTTTCATTTCTTTTTGTTGATTTATCGCACTGTTTAGAATGTCTAGTAGTGTTGAACAAACACGGTAGGAGCCCACACACTTGACTTGTTCCTGATCCAAGCCACCATCAAATATGAAGGCCAGTTCTATAGTTTCCTAATGCTCCCATTCCAATCTACTTTACACACAAGTAAAATGATCACTGTAAAATATGAATGGGCAAGTCACTGCTCTGCTTAAAGCCCTCGATTTTCCACTGTCCTGAGAAAGAACAACTCTTGCATGCTCTGTCACTGCCCATCACTCTAACATCTTTTTAAGTCACGCCCGACCCAGAGCACTGGGTTCCAACCAAACGTGCCTCTTTCAGTTCCCCCAAGCTCTTTCATCCTAGGGGCTATGACTGCTCTCTCAGCCGGGATCCCTCATTCCTGACTCTTCAAATGTCTGCTTCCTCCTACCTCTTCAGTTTTAAGGGCTCCTCAACAAGGCTTTCTTTGACCTCCCAATGCACAGTAAGTTCCCCCTGGCACTCCCTCCTGATATTTACACTCACCTACTTATTTTATGTGTGTTCCCCATTCTGAACTGTAACCTCCTTGACAGCCAGTTCTCTATTTTATTCACCTCTATTTTCTCAGTGCTCAGAACAAGTGCCAGCACATGGAAGGCACTCAGTAATATTTACATATGAATCAAAATGCCAGTATCATTAAACACTCACTTCTATTACAAGATTGCTTTTTTATAAGATTAACTAAGAAATTAGCCCTGGCTGGTTTTGCTCAGTGGATAGGGCGTGAGCCTCTAGACCAGCCGTGGGCAAACTACGGCCCGCGGGCCGGATCCAGGCCGTTTGGCTATTCTATCTGGCCCGCGGAGCCAAAAGAGCGGAGGGTTCTCTTGCTCTCCCCTCCGCTCCTTCACCAGCAGAAGTGTTAACATGTATTAGTTCACACAAACACTCCATCCATGCTTTTGTTCCGGCCCTCCGGTCCAGTTTAAGAACCCATTGTGGCCCTCGAGTCAAAAAGTTTGCCCACCCCTGCTCTAGACTGAAGGGTCCCAGGTTCGATTCTGGTCAAGGGCACATGCCCAGGTTATGGGCTCAATCCCCAGTGTGGGGTGTGCAGGAGGCAGCCAATCAATGATCCTCTCTCATCATTGATGTTTCTATCTCTCTCTCCTTCTCCCTTCCTCTCTGAAATCAATAAAAATATATATTTTTTAAAATAGAAATTATGCCCATGGCAAAAGTGAAAAAAGTGGCACTGCGTAATTTTTTTGTCATTTTACCACTTGAAAGTAACGACTCCCAGAAGTAAGGCAGAACTGAAGACAGTGCTTACTATAAGTACAAATACTTCTTAATATCTTAATACAATGATTTAAAAATGAGTTGCACATAACATAGTTTTATAATTTGACATGAGGTTGTTTAAAAGTTTAGCTGCCTACATTATATAGCAAACCCTCTTTAACAATCATTATTATTGCCCCATAAAGTCTTATCCAGTTGCTTAATTCTTCAGCATTTTTAGATATAGTCAGAATCACACAATTAAATACTCTCCTATGCCTATTCTTCAATTGTTTTCCATATAGTTTTTAGGCCTACTTGATATAGAATCTAATCTGGGACTGAATTCCATCTTTTTGTATTTTTTAGTACAGAGCAAGATAATTGAGAATCCTAAATAAAGGACTGCATGTTGATTAACTCAAGAAACGAATGAAATTATTTCATCAAATATTTTCTTAGTATATATTCATTAGTATACATTTTCTTTATAGTATCCATTTATTCAGTTTTCTATAATATGGATTAATTTTTATTACTTTAAAAGGTTATTAAAGTCATCTTTATAGCTCAGTTATATAGTTTCAGCAGACACATTTGATTCTTTGTGTAAATATACTCTATAGATGAGTATAGAATATTCTTTACATATTCCCATAAAATTAATATTGGGGGAGTTATTTAATTAACTTTATTGTAACCTCATTAGCAAAACGATTTTTTTCAAAATAATTTAGAATCCTCAAGGTCACTACTCTCTATCCTTCATTTTTTATTTTTACTTCATGAAACTTTGGACATTCAATACCCTCTGTGCACCAGATTTAGCCTGCTCAACACAGTATGCGTATAGCATGCTCAATATATTTAGCTTTAAATTTAATTCATATAATATAGAATAACTTTATTCTTAAGAGTGCGTATAGCATGCTCAATATATTTAGCTTTAAGTTTAATTCATGTAATATAGAATAACTTTATTCTTAAGAGAGAGAAACATTAGTGTGAGAAATATCAGTTTCCTCTCATACGTGCATTAAACCTGCAACCTAGGTATGTGCCCTAAACCTTTTGGTGTATGGGACAACACTCCAACCTACCAAGCCACCCAGCCGGGGCTAGAATAACTCTTAATCAAGAGGACCTAACTACCTGTTCCTTATAATGCTGTTTAATTGGCACTTCCAGGTGTTAAGCTAACAAGCATAGGTCAGTTAATATCACTGAAGTTGAATGTAAAATTAAACTGTGTAGACTTAATTCCATTTAAATTATAGCATGATTCCGGGAAAATAGATATGAAAAGTCTTGATTCACTTTTGAATCACATGCAATGCTAAAATAAACATAATAAACACCTCAATTCATTGTAACAACAACAACAAAAAAAAAAACACCTCATTCTGCCAGGATAGAAGGGTAGGTATCTTGTAAAAATAACATGGTACATCCCTACATCTAATTTAAATCATGGTAATTGGAACCATGCTATATATGTCTATATATGCCTAAAAATAAAACACAAGGGTACACTAATAATTACAGTATTTTAAACACATATAAATTAATTTAAAAGTTAGGGGAAAGTTACAACCAAACAGAAAGCCAAAGAAAAGTATACAAAACTATTAGCAAACATAATCCCCATTAGTATGTAACCTCCCTGACCCCATAATAGGTAAGCTCCCTAAGGACACATAGATTGTTGTCTGTTTTGTTCATTCAAGTTCTTAAGACCAGCACTTTGCACATAGGTACAAATGAATAATAAATCTTGTATTTTTTAACAATATATATTAACTAAAGGCCTGGTGCACGAATTCAGCACCATGGGGTCCCTGGGCCTGGCCTGTGGGATCAGGCCGAAACCAGCTCTCCGACATCCCCGAGGGGTCCTGGATTGCAAGAGGGCGCAGGCCAGGCTGAGGGGCCCCACTGGTGCACGATCGGGACTAGGGAGAAATGAGGGAGGTTGGCCAGTGGGAAGGGACCATGGGAGGGCTCCAGGGCTTGTCTGGCCAGTTTCACTCAGTCCTGATCAGCCGGACCCCAGCAGCATGCTAACCTACTGACTGGAGCGTCTGCCCCCTGGTGGTCAGTGCTCGTCATAACAAGCAGTTGAGTGGCCTTAGCACATCATTAACATATTACACTTTGATTGGTTAAATGGCCGACCCGTTGACCAAACACTTAGCATATTGGGCTTTTATTATATAGGATAGCCCATAAATAACTAAATAGAGGAAAGAATATTCTAATAGATCAAATATTTTTTGTTTATAGCAGGAAAACTAATTCTGAAGAATTTAGGAAGCAATAAAATGAATATAAAACTAAAATTGTGATGGCCCAATTCAATCTTTATTTGATGATTCTTTAGAAGTCACACCACAGGGTCATTTTTTAAAATATCAGTGAAATTATATATTATCAATGTTGTTGAATACTATTAATATAAATTTAACTTAACAGAATACCAAATAATATAGATTAACCAAGTAACATATATGCATATACAAATAGCCCACAGACACAAATAATAATGTGGGAAGAAGGGAGCAAAGGAAGTGGGTGGAGGGGGGGCAAAGGGAAGAAAAATGGAGGACATCTGTAATACTATCAATAATAAAAAAAATTTAAAAGATAGCTATGATTTTGTAAAACTAAAATTTTTCTGAGATACTGAAAAGCTAACTTTATTAAAATGTCTCTACTCAGAAAATGACTAAAGAAATCTTTATTTCAACTAAGATCTGGATTTCTCCATTTCCATCAACTAATTTCCCTAAATATTTTCATCACAATACAAAATGTGTATCATAATACTTCCTCCACTCAATGATTAAGGTACAAAAGATCAGCCATCAAAAGCTCTGAAGTTTTCTTCTGACAATGAAAAAAAAATGGCAAATTCAAAACTCATTTCGCACCAACTTACTCTAACTTTTGGCAAGACTCTCCGAAGTGTCTCAGCAGGATTCTGTCGCATCAAAAACGGGAGATTTGCAATCACACTTGTTCCCTGGATATCTTGACCAGCACTTACAGAGAAAAGACAAATTTACAATTTGTAATTGTAAGCTGAATACCTAGTTTATGACTATAAAAAGCAGATTAATTTGAAAAATGGCTGCTTTTAATGACAAACACTAAGACTTTGACAAAGTTTTAAATTTCAAACACCATTACTTAAATACAAAAATAAAACCAGGACAGAAATTACATTAAGTAAATCTTATAACATGTGCATGAAAATATTAAGCTCATGCTAAAAACAAGATTAACTTTTAAGTTTAAAAGTTTTTAAGACTATTATTAAATACTTTAAAATTCTACCTCTTTTTTTTTGTATGACCTACCAATTTGCTGTATTGTCTAAAAAATATAAATGGAAAGTTTTCATCATGGTGAAATATTAATAATCACTACAACAGGAATAGCAACAAAACCAACTATACAGAATCATACAACTTCCTTCTGTTATAATGAAGTTACCTGTGGCCAGCCTAGACTAACTCTGTGAGTTGCCAGAACTTCTTAAAGAAATACTCAACATTCTTAAAGGTCAGTGGGGTATATTTATACAGTATCTTTTTGACATATTATTCATTAGATCACTAAAGTTTTATCAAAATAATCTCAGTGATGCTCTAGTGGTCTAAATACTTTAGAAAAGGTGTTCAGATTCATCTGAAAAACCAGTTCCATACAAAACATTCTTTGATTTTAAAACATAAACTCTAAGATTTCTAAGTACCTGACATACTAGTGTGTGTATATATATACACACACATATATATAGTGTA